CAACCAGAGGGCTCCCCTCATGTGCTTCTGGTCTCAGGCATGTTTGCCCTCTGCTGTGTGACCACCTGTGTTCTGAAAACCACTGCTTTATCTTTTCTTTTCTTTTCTTTTCTTTTCTTTTCTTTTCTTTTCTTTCTTCCTCCTTCCCTCCCTCCCTCCCTTTCTTTCTTTTTCTTATTTCAGGCAGGAGGGTAAATCAGTCCCATTCTCCTCTTGGCTGGAAGCAAAAGTCTCCATATTCTTTTTTGTTTTCTATATTTAAATGAGATGTGTTTTTTTTTTGGTCTGTTTAGGGAGATTTCTGAGGGGCCAGGAGAGTTTCAAAGTGCAAGGGCTCCCTCTTCTTTTGTTATCTCAAAGAACTCAAAATGCAGCCTCTCTGTGCAGACACTTACTCTCCAGAGCTAAGTTTTCTGCTTCTGATCTGTGCTTCTTAGAGCTCTACCTTCTGAGGTAGATGGCACAAGTCTTTAAAAGTAGTGAAAACAGTAGTCTGTATTGAAAAGCAAGTTCATTTGTGAAATGGCAGGGCTGAGGGAGATGCCGGGGCAGACACAGAGGTGGAGGAGGCGGAGGCTAAGGTCACGTACATGAAGAAGCCAAAACTGGGGCTGAACACACCACCACATGAGAGCCATGTTCAAGGAAAAGTGCACTCAATCACGTGTTCCAAGTCTGGGGTAGGGGCGGGTACAGAGTATAAGTTTGCCAAACAGAGGAATAGCCATGTATAAGAAAAGACCCACACCTGTGTAGGATGTTGAGCATTTGAGAGGAGCTTTGTGTCTGAAACACCTATGTGGCCAAGACAACTGGCTCCCCACTGAAGATAAGAGCTTCCTTTGACGGGCTCTCAGAGTTGTCACTGGGGAGAGGTTGCCTGCTCAGGGACTTGGTTGACATGTGACTCAGGGCCAGACCATAGAAGGTGAGTGGTGGCGATGTGTATCTCTCACATGGGCTAATCTATTTTTCCCCATGCTTTGGCCTATGTGTGTGCATGCTGGATTACCTAATTACTGAAACGTGTCCAGTAATGCCCTGCCCTTCGCCATGTTGGGGGCCTAACGATGGAGTTATGGGTCTGACTCCTTCATTTCATAGATGGGCAAACTGAGACCCATACAGAGACATGGGGCTGCCCAAGATCACTAAGTATAAGTTGCAGAGTTGGGTTTTCCCACATTTACTTGATTCAAAGGCTTCACAGAGGCCCCCTCCCACTCCTCAGGCCCATATTCACATTTGAGCTGCTGAACTCGCCTCCCTGTGAGTTGGCAGACGCCACAGTGTGGGCCTGCAGGGAGACAAGCCCCCTATCATTGCTCAGGCATCACCCAGACGGACTGCATGGTGCAGGAAGAGTGACATAGTAGCAAGGAGCTTCTTGCACACCCCCTGCCAACATGTCTACTCCTGGTTTCATTTTTCAGGGGAATCCCTCCTGCCTTCAGTCAGTGGCCTCATGAGGCAAATGGCTTGAGTCACTGTCGCCGCAGCACTGGGATGGTAACCACAGATGATGCCCACAGGGCTGGGGAGCTGGGGCTGTCTAGAAAGCAGTTTCCCTTTGAATGTCTGGCTCGAGGTTACTCTTCACACATCTCCCAGGTCCTGTCCGCCCTCCCCACGCAGTGCTCAGTTTGATTGCTCTAAGCTATAGCTGGTGAGCATGTCTTCCCTAGAGCCCACAGAGCGGCATGCAGACTCCCCAGCGGGGCATTCTGAGAACTTCTCCAGCCACGTGGCTGCCCTTGCCTCTGTGAGTCTTACACGTAGGGATGCCTTTCAGACCTCTCTGCTTTTGTACAAACTGTTTCTTCTGTCTAGATTTTTCTCCCCAACCTGGACTACTTGGAACACTCCCTCCTCATTCTTTTATTTTTAAAAATGACTTACTTTAAAAAATTGTGGTGAAATATACATAACCTAAAATTTACCATTTTAGCCATTTTTTAGTGTACAATTCAGTGGCATTAAGCACATTCATGTTGTTGTGCAGCCATCACTACCATCCATCTCCAGAACTCTTCATCTTAAAAAGCTGAAACTCTGTCCTCATTAAACAATGGTTCCCATCCCCTCCCCTGCCACAGCCCCTGATAGCCACCATTCTATTTCTGTCTTTATGAATTTGCCCACTGTAGGCACCTTATAGGGGTGGAATCATATAGTAATTGTGCTTTTGAGACTGACATTTCACTTAGCATAATGTCTTCAGGTTTCATCCATGCTGTAGTATGTGTCAGAATTTCCCTCCTTTTTAAGGCTGAATAGTATCCCATGGTGTATATATATATATATATATATATATATATATATATATATATATGAGATTTTGTTTATCCATTCATCCATTGATGGACACTTGGGTTGATTCTACCTTTTGGCTATTTTGACTTAATTTGTGGCCTGCCCAGAGGAAGGTCCTATGTATACTTGAGAATGTGTATGCTGTTGTTGTTGGGTAGTGTTCTGTGTTATGCCTGTTGTTCAAGCCCTCTAATTCCTTACTTATCTTCTAATCTTCTGTCTGATTGTTCCACCCATTATTGAGAGTGGAGAATTGAAGTCTCCAACTACTGCATTATTGTAGAACTGTCTATTTCTTCATTCAAGTCTGTTCATTTTTGCTTTATATATTTTGGTAGTCTGTTATTAGGTACATAAATGTTCCTCCTCATTCTTAAAGACTCCATTTAAATGCTCCAGCATTTAACCTCCTCCAGCACCCTCGGCGCTGCCTCCCGCAGTCCAGGCAGGGTAACGGTCGCCTCTGTGTTCCCTATAACTAGTATATACCTCTAGGTATCACATTCTGCTTTAGTAAATCATTTCCATGTCTGTCCTCCAAGTTAGTTTGTCTTGGAGGACACAGAGTCTTGTTTTATGTTTGCATCTTCAGAATCTGGCACCAGAGGTGCCCAGTGAGTGTTTGCTGAGTGGACATTTGTAATTGAATGTAATTGTGTCACCAGTGTTCTTCCTGGGATAAAAATAATTCATGTCAGAGGTTCTCAACACATCATTGCTTCTTGTATAAGTAACTTGTATAAGGTACTTGCTCTTCTCTCTCAGTTGATCCATACCACCACCCTACAGGGGAGGTAGGGAAGAGTTTAACAACCATTTTAGGTCAGAAAACTGGGAATCAGAGACTCATACAGATTGAATGTCTTGCTAGAGGTCGAGCTGGCATGGGGCAGAGCTGGGACTTGAACCCAGGTTAGTCTGGCTCCTGACCAGGGTTCCTTTCCCTGTACCCACTGCCCTGGTAGGCTCCACTCCTCATGGCTGCCTCGGCTGGGATCACAGCCTCTGTGGATGAGGCTAAGCCTGGCTCACATGAGGGCTGAGCCTCTCATCTCTTGGGAAAATTCTAGTTTGCCTTTGGATGTGTTATAAGAAGTTCCAAGCAAGTCTATGAGATACACCTCACTAGATCCATTTTAGAAATGATGAATACTGAGTACCTTGCTCAGGTAGGAGCTGGGGCTCCAATTTGGACTTCTTTGACTCAAAGTATGATGTACTTGTCATTTGATCTGAAGTACCCCATGCCATCTTGGGATAGCCAGGAGCTTTTTCTTATTTTGAACTAAAGTCTGCTCTTTGCGACTACCCTGTCACTCTGTCCCCTGGAGTCCTGCAGAGTGAATCTACTCTCTCTGCTCCTAACACCCTTCCAGGGATATGGTGACAATGATTATGATCCCCTAAGTTTTTTCTTCCTCAGGCTGAATGGCACCCATGCCTTCAAGCTCCTCCATGGCTTTTGCAGGAACCTGAAGTTCAGTCCCTTTCTCTCTGGGCTACCTCCTTCAGACATGCTCCCAGTAGTCTATCAGCTGGGACTTAGTGACTGGAAAGGCACACGCATAACAGGGCATCACTGGGCTGGCAGGGAGAAAGACTTTGGAGGGCTCTAGCTGTAGTTTCCTCAAGTGGATGGGTATCTGGCTGTTGGGTGGAGAGCAGGAGGAGGAGAAGGAGGAGGAGGAAACAGAGCCCTGATGTATGTAATGAAACAAAAGTAGAGGGGCCAGGGTTACTGTGGGCCAAGCTTCTTCCCAGCATGGGCTCCCGAGGAGGTTCCGTTTCAGGTGAGCCCACCTGGCCCTGTGCTGGTTGCAGGATGAGCTGCCTTGGGGAGAGTGCTGGACATTCCTAGACTGTTCCTCTTTGGTGGTTGAAGAGGGGTTTTGGATGATGTTTAACAGAGTCCAAAGTGTGGTCCTTGGGATTTTGGTAACCTGGAATTCTGTTTATGGTTCCCTTCCCTGTTCCAGGGGTCCTCTAGAGATGGTGAGCTTTACTGGTCCATTGACAGTGGCCTTGACAGTGAGGGGAAAACAGGGACAAGGTATAACTAGAGAGGGTCTGATGAGGGCCTTCAGGTTTATTTTCTTGTACATGTTGATAATATTTGCCCTTACCTTATAAGATTGCTGAATATGTTTTAAAAGGCAATGCCCATGAGTGCTCTGTGCAATGCCTGATGCCAGAAAGTGCAAGGACTGCAGTTGCACATGGTACTTGTCCTGTGAAGGCAGCTGGTGGCTCCTAGAGATGTTTCTCCATCACGCTTCGGGGGGCCTGGGTGAACTCTGTCACTTCCATGCTCTGAAAGCATTTGTGGGCTGAGAACTGGACAGGACAGCAGGACTGCATTTCGGTCCTGACTCTAAATGGCTGTGTGACCAAGGAAAGCTTCTTCCCCTCTCTGGGCCTCTACTTTCTTTCCTGGACCATGAAGGCCTTGAACTACTAGAAGATCTTTGAGGTCCTTTGGCCCACAGAAGCCGGGGATCTGGGCCATGGGCAGGGTGTCACTTTCTGTTGCTCTTGACTCTTTCTCCAGGGAAGGGCATCCCCGTCCACTCCACCCTTTGCTGAGAGGTCTGCTGGTTCCCTAGGCAGGCCCCACAAGATGGCGTGCTGGAGACAGGTCTGGAACTAGGTGTTCTGAGGTCAAGACTGTCAGTTCCCCTGGCATGAGGGTGGGACCTGAGACTGGTGCCTCCCTGCTGAATGCCCTGAAGACACCCTCAGGGAAGGGGTGCTGCTTGGATTCCCTTCAGGGTTATTGCCCCACCTGCCCCGGACAGCCCAACCCATGTCCTCAAGTCATGGCATGGCCAGAGGGCAGTAAAATTCAAACCCTCTTGGCAGGCAGGTGATCCTCACGAAGTCAGCCAGGCCTGACTCAGAGCCTCAGCCTGCCAGCCCCCGAACCAGCTGTCCCCTGGGCCACCACACAGAAATCACACAGTGGGGGATGGCATCAGGCTGCAGGAAAGCATGTCCCTGGCCCTAGGGCCAAGGAGAGGAATGCAATATCAGCCTGGCACCAACTGGCCTAAAAGAACAGCTGACTCTCTGCAGGGAAAGCTGAGATGAAGTCCCAAGTTCAAGACTGGCTGGTAGCCTCAGGACAGGGATTGCTGATGATCTGAACCACTGCCAAGGAGAGAGCTGGATGGACCCTCTGAGGCCAAGCCTCTAATCCGACCCTCCACCTGACTGTGTGTTGACCTTCACTTGGTTCCTGTCCTTCTTCAGGACCCGGCTTCCCCGGCTGGGGTGAATATGAAGGTATTAAGAGAGCAAATTTTGTGGTCTTCACTTAAAATTTGGGGATGCTGTTCTTTCAGCCTCTAATGGAAAGGTGACTACGAAGGGTAAGTGTATGCTTTGTAATTATCTGCTGCAGTGGACATTCTCCCTCTTAACCACAGACTTACCTTCCCTCACCATGTCCTATGTCCGAGCTGGTACCTATTCTCTCATGTTCGAGAAGGAAAACTCCCTTCATTCTGGATTATGGGGACTGACACGCTGGACATTTCAGTGTACAGTTGAAGAGACTTGGACTGACCAAGAAAGTCTTCTTTGTAGTTCTAGTTCTACCGGTGGGTCTTGAGCCGTTCTCAGTCCCTTCCGGCCCCAGTTTCCTTCTTTATAGTGTGAGGTGTTTCTTTCCAGTTTTGTCTCAGGGTCTCTAATTTCCATTTGGAAATTTAACCTTGTATTTCCCCCCTTTGTCTCACAAATGGATTAAATGGGAATGTCTGGGAAATGAAACATTTTGGCTGGAGAACAGCTCAGGACAATGAAACCTCTAACCTCTAGTGTGGAGGCCAGTTAGAAAACCGCTGTCCCCACTCTGTTTGCAAAAAAGGTAGGATGCTTAGTGTTCATAGTGCACCCATGGTGGAGGATTTTCACGAGTGGTCTCTCTCTAGCATACACACACACACACACTCCGGTGGGGAGATGCTGGGTAAACATGGGCTTTAGGAGGATGTTTGTCCCTGAACGAATGTCAGGCGGACAAGTGCCCTTGGCATCAGGCCCTGCTGAGATGATCTTCCTGGAGGAGCCGTAATTTATTTTTCCACGGACCTTGAGATTGTTTAAGGGGATTCCAGAAGATTCATGTGGGCAGTGACTACCTGGTATTCTGGGGCTGCTGGCCAGTAAGGCGAGCTCTCTGTGTCGGCTGCCACCACCTGCTGACTGGGAGCTGGCGGCAGCCGCCTGGGCCCTCACGGCATCCCAGGTCATGTGAGAGACTTACCAGGAAGCCAGGGCTCATCCCTCAAGCATTCGGCCGGGCGTCTTTGCCATGGAGCTGTCAGCATGACTGTGTCAAATGGGTTCATCTGCATGTGCCAGGGCAGGGCCACACTCCAGGTGGCCCTCCTGGCTGTCCTGTCACCCTGCTCTGTGGCTGACAGATACCCACAGCCATCTCTCTCATCCGTGCTGCCAATGGACTGGATGCTTGTCTGAGCAGCTGGGCCCATAGCTCATGGACAGAGGGGACCCTACATGTCGGCCGCTTATGAGCTCAGCCCTGCACAGTGAGCAGGAGAGCGGGAGGAAGCAAAATTGCGTGGGGCGAGTCATAACAGATTTGAGCAATTCGAATTAAACTAGTTTGCCTCGACTCGATCAAAGGTTCCTCGGCACCCTATCACAAACCTGTGATGATTTGTGAAGAATGTTCACCAACAAAATGGGGAAAATAGAGCCAAAAGAATGAATTTTTAAAACTCATGTGGCTTGAGGAATTTTTCTTCATTTTAAACGATATCCTTGCTACCTTTCAATGTTAAAATGTTTTTCTCCTTATGAAATGTTAGCGATTTTAGATGGTAGTTGGTTTTTATTTATTTTATTTTATTATTTATTTATTTTTAAATGACTTTTTAAATATTTATTTTTATTTGTTTGAAAGAGAGAGAGCGAGAGCGAGCGAGAGAGAGAGCAAGCAGGGGGAGTAGCAGAGGGAGAGGGAGAAGCAGGCTCCTCACTGAGCAGGAAGCCTGCCCAATGAAGGACTTGATCCCAGGATCCCAGGACTCCGGGATCATGACCTGAGCTGAATGCAGGTGCTGAACTGAATGAGCCACCCAGGTGCCCCAGTAGTTGGTTTTTGAAAACATACTCACCTGAAAACCTATGTCAATCCTCTGTCATTAAGAAAATTATTTTTACTGATGGATGAATTCCGAAAGCCTAGGAACCAGTGTACTCTCAGAGGACTCATGAATAGAGGGCAATGGAAGAAAGGGCAGGAAGTGGTGGGCCTTGGTCTATAGGCAGCAGATGACTATGTCTGTTTTGCTCACTGGGATAAGCTCAGCGTGGAGCACATGGGTCCGTAAAGTTGTTTTCTGTAAAGGGCCCGGTACTAAATATTTGAGACTTTTGGGGCCACCCTGCCTCTGTCACAGCTACTTGACTCTGCCCTCATAGCTTGAAAGCTTCCATAGACGATATGTAAATGAGAGTGAGGCTGTACTCCAATAAAACTTTATTCACAAAAACAGGTGGCAGCCCTGATTTGGCCCAGGGGTCAGAGTTGGCTGACCCTATCTAGCACAACGTCTAGCATCTAGCAAGTATTCAAAAAGCGTTTCCAGTGGGCAACGAGGAAACATTGCGGGGGTCTGAGGTAGGATTTCAGAAAGATCACTGTGGTGGGCTGTGTAGGATGGGAAAGGGGGAGCACAAGGTGGAGCCCAGGCCTGGAGTGCAGGGGGCGGGGGCTCAGCCTGGAGCAGGGCAGGAGAGAAGGAGCGAAGACGTGGGAATGGCTGAGCCCGTGTGAGGAGGATATGTTGAAAGAGGGAAGGAAAAGCCACAGATAGCTGGAATTAAAGTCCCCATTCCTTCGACTCTGCTTCTCATGCCGCAAACCACGCCTCTAGAACTCAGAGCCTTATTTGATCTTAAAAAGCTTGGCTCTTCCAAACCACATTCTTGGCTTCCAGGACTGTTTTTGCTATGACTTTCCAAAGCCCACTCCAAAAGCCAAGAATCTGATTCTTTGCTTTCTCTTTACATTTCAGCTATGCCAGCTTTCCTTGGAGGCAATAAGTCCTGAATGTCTTAGCCTCTTGATTTTGCTTTAATGGGAGAAGGGAGTGCATTTAAAAAAAGAAAACTGAGAGTGAAGATGTGCTTGTTAACTTATCAAAGTATTTTCCTGCCATATTTGGTACTAATAAGAGGCAGGAAAGTCTGGGGAGGGTGCTGCCCTTGGTGAAGGCACAATGAGTCGGTCTTGGACATCTGTGGGGATGGGGGAACATTCAGTTGGGATGTCTGGGGGCACTCAAAATTGCTCCCAGGCTCACCCAGAGAGCGAGTTTGGCTGGAGAGTCCTGGAGGGAGCTGTGAGTAGAGGACTTCTCTAACACTGGGAAGAGCCAGAAAATTTGAACTGTAACCTTCAAAACATGCCATCATTTAGCCCCTCCAGCCCTGGGCAACCATCAGTCTTTCTGTCTCTGTAGATTTGCCTGTTTTGGGCCTTTCATATAAATGGAATCATATCATATGTGGTTTTTTTGTGTCTGACTTCTTTCATTTAGCACGTGTTTCCATGGTTCATCCATGTTGTAACATTTATCAGCACTTCATTCCTTTTTCTTGCCAATGCTAAATAATATTGTATAGGTAGATATACTACATTTTATTTATCCATTCTTCAGTTGATGGACATTTGGGTTGTTTCCACTTTTTGGCTATTATGAGTAATGCTGCTATTGGTATACAGGTTTTTATATGGAGGCATATTTTCAATTTTCTTGGGTATATACCTGGGAGTGGGATTGCGGAAGGATGACTTCTCTGATCTTACATCCTGTACCACCCCTTCACACCCCCTATGCTCTGACCACAGTGGGGCTCTACTCTCCCACCCCGAGCCCATACTTCAGTCCCCTGATGCTCTGCCCACACTGCCTGTCTTCCCTGAGAAGTTCTTCCCTTCTATCATTTGGGGTCCAAATCCTATGTGTTATTAAAGGCCCAGGCCACCTATCACTTCCTCCACAAAACCTTCCTCCAATGCCTCTTATAGAGAGTCATGCAACCTCACATGTTGATTATAACATTAGGCCTTTTGACTTTGGATTAGTCATTTTGTGCCTAGGTCTTATTACTTTCCTAGAGTATATACCTCCTAGCTTCACATAGACTCTGGTTTTAGATTTACTTTAAAAGATTTTATTTATTTATTTGTCAGAGAGAGAGAGAAGGAGAGAGACACAGAGAGCACAAGCAGGGGGAATGGCAGGCAGAGGGAGAGGCAGGCTCCCCGCCGAGCAGGGAGCCTGATACGGGACTCCATACCGGGACCCCGGGATCATGACCTGAGCCAAATGCAGACATTTAACCGACTGAGCCGCCCAGGCGTCCCTAAATTTATTTTAATATTCCAAGTGCTTTGCACATAGCAGACTCTACATAAATGTTTGAACAGTGAGCATTCAGTGTGTTCTGTTATTTAATGATTCTAAGATGATACCTCTACACCCTGTGTGGCTATCAGGATGGTGAAAGCCCTTCCCATCTTCTCGGGATGAAGACACATTCTCCAAGCAGCACCTGGTGAATAAGGCTGAGTGGCTCTCTGTTCCTCGTCCCATTCCCCTTGTCTCCAGTCTGGCATGGACATCTCAGCCTCTTCCTCACATTTCCAGCTGAAATCTAATGAATTACTCTGAAAAACAGGGTTATGCATTTTGGATTCTGACTTCTTTGAGCATTGCTCAAATTTCATGACTTTGAAATTTATAAACATAGACATCTGTCTTCCCAGATGACCTACCAAATCATATTCCTCTAGAAAGCAGAGCTAAATTAGATGTTTAAGGGATCAGAAAGTGAAATGGACTAGATGATTTCCTGACCTGCACAAGGTGGGGTGAGGGCCCGACAAATGGTCATCTGGTCTTGGAGGGAACATTTCCAGTAACAAGTGCATACCTTCCTCCCAAGGCCACCCGGAGGGTAAGGAAGTTTTTCTTTACGTGGAAGTAAAATCTTCCATCCTGCAGCTCTCAACTGTTGTTGGTCCAGCCCCCTGGGGCCCCTCAGACCACCTCCACTCCTTCTGTTCCAGCTCAGCCCTTCAAATTTTAAAATAGGACTGTGGCTTCTGTGTTTGTTCTTACCCAGATAGAATAGCTCCAGTGCCTTCAGGAAGCATTCAATACTAAAACAGCAGAAATAATAAATCGTAAACAATCAGTTAATAATAATGGATACTTTCAAGTAAGAAAAACACTAGTAATATTGCAATAAAAAGTGACAATATTACAATCATGATCTTTACTCTCTGATGACTGAGCATTTAGCATATACTGGGCATTGTGCCCATGAG